CCTGCCTGTCAGCAGGCAGCGTATGTGCTCGTTGTAGATCTCCACCACCGACAGCGTCACCGTTGCCAGCTTGCGCCCATTGGAATCTAGCGCACCAAATATAGTGGCCGCTGCTGCTCGCGTGATGCCGTCGTGGGTGAAGGTCTTGCCACTGCCAGTCTGCCCGTACATCAGAACTGTGCCTGTAATTGTGGTTGAGTGTGCTGCGGTGTGTGTCTGTGTGTGCGTGTGTGTGCGCGCGCGTGTGTGTATGTGTGTGTGTGTGTGTGCGAACGAGCGCGTGCGTGCGCGCAAGCAAACCTGTGTGGGTGCGTGATCAAGTACGAGCAAGTTGGTGGCCTGCAGACGGACAGGTACGTGTGCATGCGCTAGCATGCATACGGTACACGCTTGTAGGCCCGGATGCAGCTGCAGGGATTTCCTGAATGTTGCAAAACTTATTATACCCTGTGGATGCTGGCACCACATGTTTCAAACGCCCTGCCTGCCCTCATGCCCCACCACACCGCCCACCATTGCAGCCCTGGCAGGCAGAATCGACAATGCTCCGGCAGCCAGAGCGCTCGTAAACATCATCCTCTGACGCATCAGTCCCAAAAACATCAGCTGTGTGCGCGCGATGAGCAACATTAGCAGGAGGAAGAATACTGGTGTGCAGGACTCTACTTTGGCGTGGGTCGAGGGGTGCAAGGTGAGGCCTGTGAGCTGCCTGTTGCATGAGAAGCGCACGGCCGCCCACAGCACGCAGCAGTGTGCACACCAAAAATGGCATCCTTCTGCCTTTGTGGCCCCTCACTCACCAAAGCGGTAAACCTGGTAGTCAATGCACTGCGACAGCACGTGCGAATCAACCAGATGCTGCTGCTGCTGCTGCTGCTGCTGCTGCTGCTGCTGCTGCTGCTGCTGCTGCGGCTGCTGCTCCTCATGGTGCAAGTTGGCTGCGGTCGCAGCGGCAGCAGAGCGGGGAGAATACGCAGCGCGTGGGGACACAGGGGTCCCGATTCGCAGGGCCCGCAGCGTGGGATGGACCTGCACCTCCCCGCTAGTGGTCAGCTGCACCGGCCATGGCTTGGGAAAGCATGCTTGCTCCTCCTGCGTCACTGGCCTCAGGCGCACGGTGACCCTGCAAGCAGACAGCAGGCCGGAGTCCTTGATGAGTGACATGCATGCAGTGTGGCACCCCTTCGGCACCCCATTGCGCAGGGGACAAGTGTCCTGGGCGGTGGGCGGTGGGTTGTGTATTCCGCATGCTCTGCTGCCGGCGCCCAGCTACAGCGTCGGCATTCCCGCCTTGGCCTCCAATGTATGCAGCACCGCCCACGGCAGGTGGTTTCACCCCAGCAAAGCCTTACCTAAGCCTCTCGTTGGCAGATTTTTCCGTCATGGGCCGTCCACTACAATGATTCAACCGACCACCGTGTGCTGCGTCTGCTGGCACTGGGTGGCCCGCGCAAACAGGCGGCATCACCGGCGCCCACACGCAGCACCTGCTGCAGCAATGGCCATGAGAATTTTATCCAGTCTCAAAATCATGTAAATAGTGGCTTGGATCGCGTTGACGATCGCGAGTAACCACCGTCTCTGTCCAGTGGTCGGTTGCCGTGGCCAGTCTGGGGCTTCTGCTGCGTATTTAGGTAGTGGTGACGGAAACTTTGATTCATATCTTTTATGATGTATACTTTGGCAACTGCATGATGCAGCCGCGTCGCAACATTCCATTACAAGGGTGGCTGCTGCTGCCCATTACTCATTTTCATGCACCGTACGTGCTTGCTTGTATATTTCGATGCAGCTGATGTGCCGTGCACTGGCCCTCTGGTTGAAGGCCTATCAACTGCATCACGGCCTGCCTTGTACGCGACAAACATTTGGCGGCTGATGGATGCACCTTCTTGGGGAACGCACAGACGGCGGACTAGTGAATCGCTAGTCACTGAGACTGAACGCGGGTGACCGGGTGTGCACAACTCAACTGGAGTGAGGGCCGCAACAACACACCCCACCAAAGACGAAGCAGCCTGCGGCCCACCTCATCCCTGATGCAGATGCAGATGGCCCATGCTGCTAGTGGCACCTGCCTTCCTGACCAGCACATGGTCCAAGTCTTGTCATGGTCCAAGTCGTGTCCAAGGTGCGCACTTGGCGAATGCCACCTCCGCTGGCCGGGCAAACTGTCACTGCACGCCGCACGCAAGCTTGCTCAGTTTGGCACCTTGTGCCGACGACATGCCCTCCAAGTGTGTGACAATGGATGCATACATGTGATTCGCCTGACGAGTCTGACACCAACCCCCCTTCCTGCTTGCAAATGCCGCGCAGGAGGATGACGCGTGCTCCTTCGCACTGCGACGTCACCGCAAAGTCACATAGCTGCATAGCTGGGCTCGCGCCACGTGGTGCCAATACTCAATGCACGCAGGACTAACGTTGAGAGTCCACCTGATAATAAACGATGCGCTTCTGATCAGTCCTGAGATCTGCGATCGGTGCGTGCTGCGGCCAACCAGGCGGCCGTTCTTCGTCTTCGAGTCTAAAGAATGGCAGCACATGATGTACAGGACGATACTGGGCCCCAGCTGCAGGTTGATAAGCCCACTGTTATCTCCTCATGGTGGGTGCACGTGTGCTTCGCGTGCAGCCCTCAAGCTCCGTGCGGCTGCAGCGCAGCGCAGGCGCGTACATTCGTTCACAGCAGCAGGCGCCGTGGTATGGACAGCATCTGCAATTTGTGGATGCCACCAGGGGACCATGTGCGAAGCGTAAAGCCATCTGATGATCATGCCACCCATCGTTTCTCGGGCCGGTGTTGCAGGTTCTGCCCATTTGCGCAGCGCACGCTGCTCGCGCTGAATGCCAAGGGCGTCGCCTATGTGCACCACGAGCTGTCCGACACCGACCTGTACAGCAAGCCCGCCTGGTTTCTGGACCTCAACCCTGCCGGCCTGGTCCCAACACTGGCGTGGCTGACGCCGGGTGGCGAGCGCCGCGTCCTGGGGGAGTCGCTCATCATCAACGAGTGAGCTCGTGGCATAACTTCTCGTCTGGATTATCTTTGATCAGCGGCTCAGGTCTGAGAGCTCAGCGCACGCAACGGTTGCATGAGTCCCGCACTCCGCGCTCGTACGAGCTGCTCTCCCACCTCCCGCACATGACCGCAAACCCTGCTCTCTTGTGATTGTGCCGCCCTGCCGCCTGATCTGTTTTCCAGGTATGTCGATGAGGCGCTGCCAGGACCGAACTCACTGCTGCCGGACGATCCGTTTGAGAAGGCCCAGGCGCGGCTGTTAATCGACCGCTTCAGTAGCAGGGCCGTGCCAGAGTTCTACAAGCTGTTACTGCGGCAGGTGCGGTGGTCAAGGCGGGAGCACTTGCACAATTCCTGCGGGACAGGGGCGAACGCATGCGCCCTGCCTTGTTTCTTTGGATGCCAGGTCACTGGCCCTGCCGCTCACCCAAGCGTCAACCTTGACTGGCGCCTGTTCTAGCTAGACTTGTGCGTTGTGCATTGAGGCATTGAAATTCCTTGAGTGCACACGTGTAGCCCTGCCTTGCTTGGCTCCTAACCAATGTGCCCGAAGTCGCACTAGCATGCACCCCCTCCCCCTCCCTAGTGAGCTCCTCTCCACCTCCTTGCATCAGCTGGCCCACCCGGCCGCCACCAATTTTCTGGCCATGTTGCGTCCCTGATGCTCCCGTCTCTGCCACTGTCTCGCAAGCTCATAACAGTTCCAACTCATGGTTGCAACCACGCAATTGGGTGCACCAACTGGGTGCTTTGATACCCCTCCTACTCATGCACAACGATGCATTTACTTGTGCTCGCATGTCATGACACTCCCCTCGCTATGGCGCCCTCACCAATCAGGTCGCGGCGGACCAAGAGGCTGCAGCCACAGCCTTCAGCGCCCAGCTGGAGTGGCTAACAACCAAAGGGCTGCACCCGCAGGGGCCGTTCGCTCTGGGCACGTCGTTTACCCTGGTGGACGCAGCAATACTGCCCTTCCTCCTGCGGCTGGTGGGTGCGTGTTGAAGCGTTTAACACCTGCATCCCACCGTTTGGCGTCGAAAGTCGCAAGATGTTTGGTGAACCATTCATGAATTTCAGTGTTGCGCAGGTCTAGCACTCATAACGCGCTCGCTATCATCCTCACTTGCAGCCCATTCTCAAGCACTACCGTGCATATGAGCCTCCAATAGCGGCAGCTGAGCGGCTTTCGGTGTGGACAGCTGCAGCCCTCGCGCACCCAGCAGTTGCGGCCACGGCGCGTCATCCCAAGGGACACGATTACAAAGAGGCGCTTATAGCGGTGAGACTACACATTACTTTTATTGCTCGACACACACTCGCATTGGCACGGGATTATGGTTGTGGGCTTGTGATGTTAAGGATCCTAATTAGGATTATCACAGCGCACCGCGGTCGCCCTCTTCTGGAGCCATCCAGGCTCGTGTGATCAGAATTCGGGGCATCAACTGCAAAGCACTGCTTGCATTGTTGCAAAAAGCACGCCAGCCACTGCCGAATCCTCTTGCATACTCTGATTTTCTTTTTATTCATGTACTTCTCTCCCACCCGTTGACACCCACCAGATGTACGAGAGGTATGCAGACGGCAGTGCCAACAGCCAAGTGGCGCGGGACATCAAAAACGACAAGACGACCAGCTAGAACGGATCGACCGCCCTCATAAGCCGTTTTATGCAAGAGCAAGCGACACCCATGTGTGTACGATGATGCTATGATGCTTCAGTCTTCACCTGAACACGTTCATGTCCTTGTTGGATCTTGCTCGCTTGTTGGGCTGCACAAATTGATACATAGCTTGTTGGGTGCAGCCAGCCCCTTCACTCCTGAGTGGCACCTGGTAAATGCGGGAGCCTATTGTTGTCACACAATACACCCTGTGTCATTGGCGAGTCAGAGCTTGTGTCATACAGTTTTAAGCTGACTGCTGGATACGCCCAATGTAGTCCAGCACTGGCCGGTGGCACTTGGACCCACGGCCGCTGGCATGCAATCAGGGAGGAAGCTTGCTACGCACAGTGGAGGCCCTTGCGCCGTGGACTCCCACGCATGTGCACTTCTCCCAGAAATGGCAGTTGCTGGGTGACTGGTGCCCCTTTGCCCGTGCCTGCCCTGCTTTTGGCCCAGCCGCAAACGCGCGCGTGGGCGCGCCCATGCAGCTGGTCTTGGTTTATCCTCACGGCATCATCTGCCGAGCAAGGTGTAACGTTACACTGTCAACAGTCTCGTTCTGCACCTGCTCTGCAGCATCGTCACCAAGGCCAAGTGTACACTTGGGTTGGGCACAGGTCAACACTGGCCAGCCAAGGCAAGAAGCTTTATACAGTTGCATTAGACCGTACTGTAGACAGCACGCCGTGCCAGCGACGCAAGGCGCACTCTCAGCCAAGACCCTAGTGCTCACTAGCACAGGCCCAGGTTCATACTCATGCCAGCCGCATGTCCCAGCGCGCGTCACCCCGCTGACGGCGTCTGACTCGCCGGTTAGCGGCACATGCACATGCTATGCAGCCTGAGCGGGGCCCCCCGCTGCCAGGGTGCGCTGGCCAGGCGCGTCAAGCTGCAAAGTAAGGACAAACGGGCTGAGTGCTAATGCTGATTTCACCATGACTCAGCCAAAGGTTGACCTACTTAGGCGTGCTGCTTGCACCAGTTGCCAATTCATGGCAGACTGCTGGATTTCCTCAAGGTACTGTTGTGAAGTAGCCCTGGCCTACACCCACAGACTGCAACCACGCAGGCGACAGCCGCACAGTCAGGGCACACCCACTCAGCAAGAGCTGCTTATGACTTCACCACATCCAACAATTCAACAAATTTAATACATTAATGACAGGCTGCTGGTACCAGCTGCAGGTGTTGGAGTCTGCTTATGTATGTGGCCCGAAAACCGGAGCTGACATTCGGTGCTGTTGCTGTCAGATATGGATATTGCAACCGCTTTGAATCAACTCAGTATGCTTCACAACCCCACCCAAGCCACCTGGGAATTGAGCGGTCAAGGGTACTTATTGGGAGTGTCACGGCTGGTTAGGCAGGGCAGGGGTGGTGTGTTCACCCCTTTGGAGGCATGCTGAAGTCACAAGCTCGCACCTGCGTGACTGGGCGTCACTAGTGACACCGGCAAAGTGACACCATGCTGGGTCAAGTCGAGCACACCTTAAACTTGGGATTAGGATTAGGATTGTTACAGCGTCCCGCCCGCGGTCGCCCGCTCCTGGAGCCATCCAGGCTCATGGGATTGTACAGTAAAGCACCAGCGTTGTGTGACTGAGATTCAGGTGGCTACCGTGCGCCGTTCAAA